AAACTGGTTGCGTACATTCGCCTTATTTAAAATCTTCATTTACGTTTTAAAAACAGATTTTCCTTAAATTGTATCTTCTTTACTATTTTATATCCATATTTTATAATATAAGAAAGTTATAGTATATACAATATTGATATCAATAAAATATAAATAAATATATCATTGATTCAATATATTAAACTGTACAGCCGTACAGGTAAACTGCAAATACAAGTACACGAAAAGTAAATTAATTAGAACTATCACATCATATAAAGTGACTATTATCTTTATTTTTTTCGATTACAATCTGAAGTAGGAACTATAAAAAGTGATTTTATAAGAAAATAGTTGCCTTTCAAACGTAGAGAATATCTAAGGACATTCCCATTTCATCCCCTTAATCGGGGATTACTTTTAAGTTTATATTTACCGTCACGTCCTAACGGCTAACAATAAGTAATTTCTTCAAGTGGAAGATTTTAAAATCGTCAGAATTATTATTTTAAAATATAATTATTGTTATTTGTTTATTAGTCAATTTTTACACATTCGAATAGCTATATGCAAGACAGTCGTAGATAGATAACATACAAAAATAACATACTCAAGACAACAGTAAGTTAACTAAACACTGAATTAAGCTAAATAATTTAATAACAAATTAGGGGCACTGAACTAAGTTTGAAATTTAAATTAACAGAATTAGCATAACGCAGAACCTACATTATGTGTTGAGAATAAATGTAGGACAAACGTAAAATATCTTCGTGTAAAAAAAATAATTAAGAGAAGTACCATCAAGAGATAATTGTGAGAGATAGGAATTAGGAATATAGGATCATGACACCAGGCAATAAAGTCGTAACATCAATGATTGAATTGCAAAAGAAATAGAGCGGGTGTGCAATAAGAAAATGACGTACCCAAATAATTAAATTTTATATCGATTAGGATATAACATAATTAGACAGGATACACTAAAATATTATTTGATAAAAAGAGGTACCCCTTTGTTCCCTTCCAATTCAAGCGCTGCATAACGTGACTATTTTCATAATTCAGCCTTGAACCAAGAAGATTGGGCAAGTATGGAAAATAATATTATAGCTCGGATTAAAATGTTAGCAGTGCAGGAGTGTAAATTTTTAACTAAATGTTCATACCGCCGCCGGAGAGAAGGGATTTAGGACAAGTCACATAGTTTGTTATAGTTTATCAGTGGCGTAATTATGGGGGTGCACGACAGTACACTTGCACCTCCTACTTCCCTGCATAATGTGCCAGGTGCAAAGATATCCTTTGGCACCTGCTGAACCTGAACTCTAATCCTATAAGAATGTAGTACTATTTTATAGTTTTGTGGAATTTTTTTGATAAAACATAATACAACTTACAGAACTAAACAAATACGCATAGATATAATAAAGACATTTCTTTATTATCTATGCAAATAATAAAATAACTTAAGTAATAATCGCATAACATTTTTGTTTTATGTAAATATTGAATTTTAATAATATGCATATAAATTGTTTAACATGTACAGATTATATTAGGAATAGTTTTTATATTTGTATTTTGTATGTAACTACCAATTACTTACTTATATAAAGATATAGTGGACGCAGGCGAAGCGAGTGGCTCTAAATTTGACTTCATTCGTCTTTTTGATTATTGGATCAACCAAAGTTTTACGCCTGCTGAAATATAATGGAATTAAGGCAATGGGTATTTTTACAGATTAAAAGAAAGATGAATTTAAACTACCACTCTGAGAATACCGGAGTCTGAAAGAAATGTCGTTTCGAACTGACTGTTAAGGACCCTGACGAATTGTTGCCGGTTACTGATGAAAGATTTTATCCGGGAAAGTAGCATTCAGCAGATTCCGACCGTTTCGGGTTCGTGGAATAGGATACCATATTATTTTATGTATTATTTATAATCAAACATTATAAATTATAATGAATATAGCGCACATTTGTAAACAGTTATTTCGTATTTGATGTATCTGCTGCGCATAATTGCATATTATATTATATTATTATGTTCTAAATTTCAAATTACTGATTTCCTCTAACACTTTTACCGGAAAATTGTACAGACAAACTTTGTGTTGTTTGTTGGAAAATCAGAGTAACGGTTATAACTTATAAGTAATGAGATTCGTATGAATTGTGAGTATATAGGGGCCTCTATAAATCTTGACTGTGGTTTCGGTTTATCCATTAACTGAACACTACAACACCGTGCTTATGCGTACCTATATTAAATTGTTGCCAGCGAGTGCAGTTAAATTATTCATGGAGCATTCGGTTTTGTTTTTAAAAGTTACGTAAATGTATAATAACAAAGAGATCAACAATAATAATTGTAATTCGACAATACTCTACATAAAAACGCTACCCATGAGCTGATATATCTATACACCTACCTATATGGGCGGAATACGAATTGCGAACAACGGCGTTAGAATATATTATAGCGCTGAATAGACTGACATTGTAATATATATTGTAGGTAGGTAGTTAATATTTAATTCATATTATGTTTAAATTCATATTTAGTGAAACGTCACTCATTTCTTAAGAATAGTGTTGACGTGATATGCGAACAAAATTCATACTTTTAAAGAGAATTGGAACGTTTATAGGCAGTTTAAATTTAATTAATTTTTAATCTTTTTATGTACCTACCTAGTGAAATAATTTGAAATAACCTAAATACAAATTAAAAACTGAAAAAACAGTACCTTTCTATGGATAAGTAATACATAGTAATACATTTTTAAATAAATTATAAAAATTATAAACGACCCAATGAACATAATATAACCTTTGAAAAAATAAATTAAATATGAATGCGAACGTGAGCGAGTAAGAGGACGGCACACCCGCATGTGTTGTCACCGTCTTACAAGTGCATAACATAGCAAACTTTAGATCACGTTCAGGTCCGTTAGTTTAAAAATTAGACTGAATTGACTCTTATAAAATTTAAAGGCGAGACCATTATCTAATCTCACCTCATAAGCTTTTAATTATATGTTAATTTCAAAACGTGTTTTGAGTATTTTAAAATTGTAAATTCTTTGTACATCTTAAAATACTCATAACTCGCTTTGAAATTAAAAAATATAATAAAAAGCCTATGAGATGCCCTAGATAATAATATTACCTTTAAATTTTATAGGAGGTCAATTCCCCCTAGTTGTTACACTAACGGAACTAAACGTGATCTGCTGAGAGTAAAATTTGCTATTTTACGCACTTGTAAGACGGAGACAACACCATGTGGGTACCACGCGTCCTTTCAATTTTATGTTCTCACACGAGTACACGAGAAACTCAACGAGTTCAGTTTTTAAGTGAACTTTCAAAACACGGCTATTTAGGTATTATTACATCCGGGTCCAGTGCCGGTGTCTTAAAGTCCAAGGGTTGTCGAACTCGAGTATCACATCGGCTAAAACGTCAGTATCTGTTCAAATTCAAACACGACAAAATATAGTATTATTTATTGAATTAAACTCACCTAAGGTCAAAATTAAAAAAAATGATCTCCATTATAAATTAATCGATTATTCTCGTCGAGTATCATCGTCAACTGCAGAGGAAATGTTCAATCGAGACCGAATATATACATAGGTACGTATCATAATGTGGTGTTGGGATTTATGTCTATATTATCATAATATAATTGTACGACGATGCTGCGTAATTAAATCGAAAACACCGTCCAGAGATTGATTAATCTAAAACCTTGCAATGGTCAATTAATTTAATCGAAAACCGATGGTCAATTAATTTTAGAATACATACATAATTATCGAGAGCTAAACCGCATTACCGCGCACAGTCCATTGTCCGCAAAAGTCACGTTATCGCCGCCGCCGCCGTTTCACGGTTTCGAGCGGCTTTTGTTTCGGCGTCCCGTTTCGTTTCGCCGACGCGGCGGCGCGTCTAGTTTTGTTTACTCGACGAGGGCGGCGGCCCTTTTCCGTAATGAAAAACGACTGCCCTAATAAAACTAATAACAAAAAAAAAAAAAAATGTCATTCGACACGCTCGTCGGCCCCCGTGACACGCCAAACGCGTATAATATCTCATTTCGGGCGTAAAATAATATTTACCGTCGGCCAGGCGGTGCTGTGCTCATGCCGTATCATGCGCGTGCCGGCCCGGTGTCGTTATAATGTTGTAAATTGTAATGTATGTGCAGTCGCTGCTTTACGGGGAACTCGATGCAGTGCACACAAACACACGGCACACGCTCTGCCGCAGGGGCGACGCGCCGTCTTAAATAGATAATAAATAACGGTCGCTCGTGTGGGCGCCACGACGGGCGGGAGGAGCGGTGGCGGCATTGGCGGCGGACGAGCGAGCGACGTTTGCGTCACATAATATAATAATATTATATTATTATATATTATATTGGCATAGCCGCCGCCGTCGCCACCGCCGCCGTCGTTGCCGGGCAAAAACACGCGAGTGCCAACACACACGACTACGGCGGTGGCGGTCGTTTTTACGATCAGTCCGCGAAAAAGCGCCGTCAGCGCCGTACGCGTACACGCGCGCGACATATTATTGTGCGGCCGATCGCCGCCGTATAAACGCTAGACACCGGTCATCTTGGTCGGCCACCCGTTGCTGCTGCCTCTGACCACGATTTCGACGACCGCTACTTACAACTATCGTCTCGTTATACGCTCTACCATAATATTATTGTTGTTGTGTAGTGGTTATACACGCGCGTATTACAGTCACGCGAAGCGATGACGACGACGTCGCCGCCGCTGGAGACGTGCCCGGTACACTAGAATAATGTGATTGCAGTGAAACCGCCTGCACATTCCCGGACACTCTCGGTCGCTTGATTGTTTCGGTTTGTAATTCATTGCCGAAAAAAACGTCCGCTAGATGAGGTTTCGCCGTGCGCACAATATAAATTATCTCGCCGTCGACTGAGCTCGAAGCGCGTGATCGCTGTCGTCGTCGTCGTCGCGGTAAACGACGGCGGCGGCCGCGACGTTAGCCGTGGCCATTACGGCGGCCGCTGCCGTGGCGTGGTACGCCTCCGATGGTGGGCCGCCGCCGCCGACACCGGTGGTGGCCGACACGGTGCTGATCCACGCCACCGTGTGCGCGTGCCAACTCCTAGCGTTCACGGCCGTCGTGTATTTGCTGTCCGCGTGCTGCGGCGTGCACGTCGTACGCGCGGCCACCTGCCGCGGTGACAGACGTACCGCATGTCACCGCTACCCGGGAGGCCCGCTGTCCGAACCCGTTACCACTCGCGACCCCGACTCTGCGGACGGCCTGCACCACGACGGTGGCCACCCGTCGCAGACGTGCGCCGACAATCACGTGCACTACCGGCGCAGGAAGATCAGATCAGCCGCGCCACTGTTACAGCGGTAATGATGAATGTCGGCCTGCAGCCTCTTCCGGGAGCGGGATTCGGCCACCTATACGATCGTTAGTCATTACCCCCTCAGGACTATTTTCTGGATGTTTTTCATTAATACGCAATAATAATCGTTTTATATTACCTACTTTGGTAACTTTATGTGGGTACACTGTGTATGTACTGTAATACGCGATTCTTGGTTACTATATCACTTTTTTAGTTTTTTCCCCACCTAGCTTTGTGTGTGATGCCTACCTACTAACCCACTTTGCCAAATAGGTATAACTGCAATAATGTAGTGATAAATAGGTTCCCAGTCCCACACAAAAATATTTTATATAATAATATCGTATACCAGTAGGTATACGATTGCATATTTATAGTACTGCGGGGGCCGAGACTCTGAGAGATTTGAACATGTCAATAATTTACATATTATATTATATATTATTTAATACACACTGTACCCCGTGGAGTCTCTCGGGCAGCTGTCTTACGTGAAAATAATGCGCATCTCATTGTTTTCTTTTACAGTCAAACTGCAATTATTGCTTTTTTTAATACATAATGTACATTAATATGCACCTACGTTATATGTATGTTTTAAGAAGGATGTATTTAATATATACATTGTATGGTCATGATATATTTGACATAACTTATTGTCGTTATATAACTACCACTTAATTTATGATTACGTAACATAATACAAGTTACTTATAGATTTTACAAAATCTCCTTAAAAAAAAACACGTAAGTGCTATTCGTATAAAAGTGTAAGGCTGTTTCGCAGTTAGAATATTTTAACATTTTTCGTGAATCCTTAAAATTTGCAATATTTTTAATTGTATATGCTTGTTAAAATAAATGTTATGAAGCTTTATATTTAAAAAAAAATAAACAACAATAATGTATAAAAGTTAATCAAAGTACTATCAGTTCGCCCCTCTCGAAGATCCTGTTTACGGCACTGATACAACTCAACATAACGCTTTGGAATTCAGCTAGATCATTTTTGTGGAAATAAACTTGTTCCTAGTCTAGAAAATGTATCTATGATAATTTAACTAAAAAACACGCAATCGGCTAATTTTATCATTAGCTATACGCGCGCAATTGTATACGATTGAAAGTTACTGTGTGTATAACCTACCAACAGGGTCCAATCATACTCTAACATAAGTTGTTTTATCCGAAAATGTTTCCTAAACTAAATTTTCAGTTAACTGGGTCACAGTTGAACAGTGCTTAAAAATAACAACTATTAGTTTAATACGCTCAAGATCTTAGCTAATGCAACTGTTTACATAAACTCTAGTTTACCTATTTATGGTATATAGCTTATAGTGCATGATACGATTTAATTAACAAAAACATTTTACAAACATTTGACGCCGTCATATGGATAATATTATACACACCACTTATTTAATATTTTGTTGATGCAGTATTACAGTGTTTGTAACTTTTAAATAATATACGATGTGTATATTGTATTTCTATATTTTGTACATTACACCTATTTAATAATGTGACTGTATCCCAAAAAAATATTATTTAGTACATTTGTCACAATGTCACCTAATATGATATACGAAAATTTCAAGCACTACAAATTTTTACTAATGCATTTTTCTGATTATCGAAAAAAAACCCGGTTGTTATAATTTGATAGGGTGGTGCAATGAAATTGATACACTTAAACGGTGTAGAAACTAGAAGCGTATATTGTTACATATTGGTGTTATATGTGATACATTATATTAACTATATAGCCATATAGGTACCGAGTGTCCGCGTTTCAATACAATTTTAATAGTTCATGTGAAATTCTCACTGTGAATGCTTTATTCATAGCCATAGGTAATACATTAAAAGCATTGAAATGTACCTAGGCATTCAAATATTGGGTCACGACTCACGGCATAGACTTCGCCGTCCACATTTGTTATCATAATGTTACTACTTAGTTTAATACCAAACAAATGAAATATGAAAACAGTTTTCCTAAAAATATATTATTGCACAATTTCATGAATTGCTATCAGGCACCTGTCGTCGGTTTGATGTGAAATAATTATAATTCACGTAAAAATATATATATTATACCTACACCTTTATCGCATTTTTCATCACCACATATAAATATATTATTTTTTTGCGGAATTTTTATTTACAGACCTAAATATTATTATTGAGTACCTATATACTGCTGTAAACTCGGTATTCATTTGAATACGAAAAGGTTATGGTATGTATCGTGTGGCTTTTACTTGAACATTGTATTGAAACAGACACAAAAGTCCTTGAGAATAATTGATCAAATGCTTTTAGAACGCTGTCAATACAATAAATGATATAAATATACAATGCTATATGTGCGTTTGATGGTAAATTATAATAAAACTGACTTTCAAACGATTATGTTATTTTGTTAGACAATTTAATCAAAATTGTATGAAAAAAAATAATAACTTAGTATGATGTTAATAAGTTATTTGCGTCGTAGACCGTAGTAACACTATTTCTGTAGTGAAAATTACCTAACGTCAAGTTATTGTTGTTCCAAATAATACATTAGTATATAGTATTTTAAACACAGTTATTGGCAACAGCTTACTTAGCCGAGCTGAGTACTTAGCCTAAAACTCGCATTTTATAATAGGTCAGTTCTAGAGCTTGTGTATCAAAATACTATTTAGTACCTACCTATTAACATTTATTTATGTTCGATATAATGAAAAAATTCAAAATTTTTATATTAAGTTATGGTTATTGCTGTATAGTGTCTTCAACCAAACATTGGATGATTTCCAGACACCTATTAGGTACTCTTGGAACGTTAAATAAAAGCCTACTTATTGAGTAACTGAATTAAAAGAATACCTGCTAATAAGTAATATTTAAAGATTTATCAAATTATTTTAAAACGATTTTATTCAATTTTAAAATATTAATCGTCACCGAAGTTGATTTAAATATTTTATGGTTTTGGATATTTAATTATTACTAAATTAAACCAACTGGATTATACATTATACCTTTTCATTACCTTTTTATTCAACCGAAATCTGGTGAAGCTTATAATCGCCCAAAAATATATAATAGGTATACTTATAATTTACACATATATTTACTAGCTAAGTCTAAATATTACAATACATTAGTGGCTCTTCTCGCCACGATAATTCATTTTTAGAGTGTCTACAATAAAATATCCGATATGAATTTTCTTTTAAATTGTTTTGTAGTACTTTTGACTGTTTTTCAATAGTTTTTGTAACTTTCTGGAAACTTGGAGTTTGCAACTTTTATCTTTTGGAACTAATATTTACGCTCCAAGACTATTTACCAAGAAGGTAAAAACCAAAAATCAAAAAGTACATCACATTAAAACAAATACCCAAACCACCACCATTTAGAAGCCAGTATGAATACCAAGCAATACCTACCTAACTAAAAACTACTAAAAAATAGGTGCAAATAAAATATCTCAATTATTTTTCATTATTATTATAAAAATAAAAATATTCCAACACATCTAAATCTTTGTATGCTACATTATGAGATGACTCACATATAAATTATTATCAATAATCAGCTGATTTATAAAATGTTTTCTACTCAATTATTATTAGCTCATATTACAAATAATGACTTTAATTGTGTTTGAATAACAGTAAACTAATTTGTGTTGAAATCTAATCGCATTGTTATACAATAATGAATAATAATCAAAACATTATTTCATTTAATATTACTACCTATTTCTATAGTAGCTTTTATTACATTATAAGTTAATACCGACGTACCGTAGAATGGTGTGAATAGGTTCGTGGTAAAGAGCTTAAAATTAGTATAAATATTTTGAACATTTCATGGTATAAATAATAAACATAGTACCTAAATAATAATAACTGTAGTAGTGGAGGAAATCTTCAAGTCCCTACGTATAATATGATTTCAAAAATAACAAAAATCTTTTTTGTTTTATATCCAATTTCGTACTTATAGATACATTTTAACTTAAAATGTCTATAAAATGAATGTTGCATATTATGTAACTTTGAGACCTTTTAATTGTTAAATAAAAACTTATGTGAGAGCTTGAATTCAATTTTCTTGCCTCAGTTTTTAAAATAAAAATGTTATGAATTTTCAACTAATAAATTTCCCTTTCACAAAATTTTGAAATTTTAATTTAAACTAAAAACACTCACAAAAAAGCTGGTAAGTGGGTAACGCTCTACTGTACTCACCTGTACATAAGGTGTCTGTAGAGACTGTAGAGTCACCTTAATGAATGTGTAATACTTGAATTCAATCATATAAAATCAATGTATACCTATAGGTACGAAAAACGATTCTGAGCGAAGATAGTCAGCCTATAATATTACTAAGTATTAATTATATACTATTTTTAAAAAACATATATATTTTTTAAATGTTTTGGTTAAAGAATTAATTACTTACGTGGAATCTTCATTTAAATTTTCAATCTTTAGCTATATATATATATAAACTGAACACTTTATAAATTTTAATTACAAAATAATTTGTAAATTTTCAATTTTAAATGCCAATAAAAAAATCTAGCATAATATATTATTTATTTTTAATATTTTTAAACTAATATTGTAACAATGTGTGAAGAGTATTGGAGTATAGAGAATGATAAAAGAACCATATGGTGTAAATCTCAAATATCTACAATATTATGTTTTAAATTACAAAAAAATAAGAAAATCGTTCCATGAGCAATCGAGTGCATATCTAATGTTGTAAAAATTTTAAATGAAAAATTATTGTAGATTTCAACTCAACCTTTTTTAATTTCCACTATCAAAAACTTACAAGGAACCTTATATAACATTTTCAAGTATATTAACAGGCCGAACATTTTTTATCGACATTAATTTAAAAATAGCTAATAATAATAATTGAAAATTGTGTACGTCTATACGACTATACATATTAGCTCAACATGAATCAACTATCAAAATGTAA